CCTTGACTTTTTATTAGAGGTATAAGCTTTGGACTTGTTGAATATTTGGCGAACATCCTTATAAAATTCCAGAGGACTACCATAGTTTCCTGCTTCCAAGGTTTCTTTCACAGTGCTGAAGTCCACAGGAGTATCTATAACATCTTGATAATCCTACAACGAAGAATATGTTATTAAATACTCAAAACTGCATAATAATATTAAGAAATACAATGGAATTAAAATTGGCATCACCTACTACAATCCACCAGGAAATAAACACATTGCTTTTCAATGTGCCAACTACTTCCCCACAACCCCAAAACATCTTTTGTTGGCTCATAAAAACAGCAGAAGTCTGTGGGAAAGCCTTAGCCCTCACACCACAGTAATAACCATAAATAACCCTGAAGGGACAGAATGGAAAATCCATAATTGTTGGCTTCATCTCTACAGCATTCACAATATGGAATTCTATTTCTTGCTTAAAGGCTGATACAAACTCCAAAACCCCAGCAAACTGTTTAATGATAAAAGATGGGATTATTCACATGTAATTAAATTGTTCCAGTCTACAAATTAGCTACATATTTCCACAATTCTTGCTATGAGAACATTCTACTTAAGTGTCATTAGTTGAGGGTCAAAGTCACATTGGTCATGTTTGTGTCTTTCCTTTTTGATTTTTAATCAAAGTGATACCTTTGTTTCATTGAAGGTCTTCCATCTTTTAGGTCCATATTTCATTTGATTTTGATTAGGGGAGAGGGAAGATTCCAGAAGGGTTATCAGGTAAAGTTACATCTAAGATTTATTCCTATATATGCTACAAGTTTCAGAGTGAAAACCATACTCAGTATTAGATCCCTTAATGCATTTAGAATCATCAAGAAGTAAAATCTCCACATTTCCCTCTAAGGAAAAAGCCAAAAAGCCAGAAAGGGCAGAAAAAGGGTATTATAAAAAGACAGAAAATATTTTTCAAAGTATGAGAAATCACAAATATTCTAAATATATCTTTTTATTTTCTCAAATCATAAAAAAAACAGAAGTGTATTCTAACACAGTAAGGCTTATTTTAGAACTTGTGTAGCAGTATGATGACCAAAATTTAAAAGACAGCCTACTTGCTGAATGAAATCTCAGTGGGAATAACCAGCTGCAATACAGACACAATTATATTGTGTAATTGATGTTTTCTACTCTGTTGCAGTAGCTTCGAATCTACACAGAAAAGTAAACATTTACAAAGAGGATACAAAGAACAATCTTGAGAACACATGTTGATTCAAAAACAGGAACAACAACAAAAAAGAAATTGCTAAAAAAATCAAACAAAAGTAAAAAGGGAACCGAGTTAGAAAGGAGTTTTAACAAATTATAAAAGGTTGATGTACAGTATGGAGAGTTTAGAAAGTAAAAACAATCAGTATGTCTTTTAAGAGGCTACCAGGCCTACCTCAGAAAGCAATGAATCTTGTCTTTCTGGAACAACAGACTCTGAGGATTCTCCCTCTTGCTCCTGATGACCCTATTAGGATAAAGAGCATATACTGGTTTCCAGACAACTATAACAAAATATCAAGACATGTAATACGATTTTGACTTAAGTCTCAAAGATCCATACACTGGAATTATGTTTTTATTGGCTGTACTTTAAGGTGAAGAAATTGTACATTCACCATTCTCCTTTGCTATGAAAAAAACAAGACTAATTTATTTCACCCAAACTCCCTACAAGCAAACAAATGTATAATCTACACACTAAAGACATAACGGCATTTTTTAAAAGATCACACTAATCACACTACTACTTTCACAACCAAAAGATTAGTAAAAAAGAAAGGAAAGCAGGGAGCAAGAAAATTGCTCTTAACTCGATTTTAGCATGGACATTTATGGGAAATTATCATACTGGCAATTATTTAAACAACTGTATGCTTACTGGGTAAGAAAGAGGATCGGCTGACTGTCGAAATGGCTCTGAGTCTTCACGTTCATAAATGAGGCTCAACAGGTCTTTGCATTGTTTTTTCCAAGCATCAGGATTACACTTTAAAGACTGTCTTCTGCCTCGGCATTTGACCTATAGATTTTAATAGAATTATATCTGAAAGATCTTTCCTTAACTCTATTGATTTTTCTGAAAAATCCCTAATGTTAACATATCTATCTGTATAAAATAGGGCAGCTGCTATTTTAGTTTCTTAGCTTAAATTAGACATTGTTTTCCCTGGCAAAAATAATGAGCTAAAAAACCTAGACACCATATTCATGGAAATGGCAAGAATTCTAGTACTCACATCTGAACTTCAAATAAAGTACAGAGGAGCAATGCTTCTATCCTCTACAAGATCAAGCTATAGTGCCTTACTACTTGCTGGTAGTTAAGTATACTTGACAATGGCATCATATTTTTTCTCAAAACAACACTTTAATTTTTTTTCCCTGGAAATCCTTTGTGGTCATGATAAACTCTGTTCTGTACCATTGGATGTCTTTTGTTATGATCTCTTTCAGTATTACAAAATATATTGTTCCTTATATAATATAACTCTAATTATTATGGAGGGGAAATCTGCACAAAAGAGTTAACATAGCAGGCCAGGGATTGCTTGCAAGGTTGGCCATTGGCTGGCATTTGGGAACTTGGCATTTGAATGGCTTCCTAAATTATTTAGACAATTTGCTGCACCTAGACAGTATAAAACAATGTGATTTGTGCTGAATATGTAATTTCCTTCTGAGAATCTAGAATCTTAGTGTGCACTAGTCAGAGGGTATCTACATAATCAGCCCCCAATAAAATTTTTGGGAACTGAATCTCTAATCACACACATGCTAGAAAGAGTGTGATATGTGAAGATATTAATAGGATAAGGAAGCCTGTACATAAATTTCTCCAGACTCTGCCTGTGTCTTTTTCTCCATGACTCAACTGGGTACCCTTACTGTATCAATGTAATAAATCTTATCAATGAGCATACCTAATATACTTACTTAAAGAATCTTTCTAGCAATTCTTCGAATATGGGGTTGGTCTTAGGGATCACTGACATAGGAAACCTGAAAACGTATCTCCTCAGCAGTTCATTTATTTACTCACCCTTCTTCCAGATGAAGTACCAGGACCATCTGAATCTAAATCAACCATTTCTGTATCCTAAATTAAAAGGGAAGAGTGGACAAAAATGTCGTGACATTTGAAGTCATATAAATTAGATGGACATTTACAAATAAGTGGGAAATATAATCACAGTTAACTTTTCCTCATTTGATCAAGTAGAACAAAAGCTGGAGGAAGACTCATGTGAAACATTCCCAATATACAGTGTACAAGCTGGAAGATATACTGGAAGAAGAATAATTAAACAAGGATTCTCTTTAAATAAGAATGGGGAAAGGAGGGAAACAGTGTAGTGGTTGGTGTTTGCTAAAATTAAACCTAAGTAAGTGTTAGTATTTTTTTTAATCTTATTCTACATGATATGCTCATTTAATATACAATTATTAATTATTCATGATTAATCCACTGCCATTTCAAGAAATAGATCACACAAAATATGCACGTACGTTTTCTGATAGGAAAGTGATCTATTTCAGTTAAGTATCTCTCTAAGGGATAATTTTTTAATATGAAGAGTCAAGACCCAAACACCACTAGTGATAGTGAAACACTGGGTAATACGTAGTAGAAAATAAAAAGTAGCTCATGAGATATTGGTGCTCTTTTCTAACAAAATAAAACTGTTGAATTACATTTTTACTTTTCCATTTTAAACTTAATAGTGCTACTCTAAGGTGAAATTCTTGCTACATCAAATTCCCTAGCTAAAATACATTTATATGAAAGGTCAGAGAAAATATAAGGAAGATATAAGAAAATACAAAAAATATTAGTGATATATTTTTCTTAGGTTTCAAGAAACTGTATCTTATTGGTATATCATGTTTTCCTTTATTATTTAAATAACATTTAATTGCAATAATTTATTTCATAGTCAGACACATTTTCATGAAAAAATAAAAAAAAAAAAAAACAGCATTAGAGAGTTACCATTCTGGAGATTAACAGCATAAATAATATAAACATGCAAAACATCTCATGCTACTGCAACACAATCTAGCACATGTGAGTCACTCATCCCTGGGATGAATTGTTTTCTAGTAAAGATTTGTGAATTATCACTTTCTAATATTGTTCCAACATCTATGTTGGTTTTTGTTTCTATCATAATCTCCAGCCAAATATGGCTTTGTGTAAATTAGAAACATAGATGAGTAGAGAAATCAAGAACACAAAGGTCTGCTAAGTACTACTTCCATTTCATTCAGAAAAGACTGCTTTATTTTTATAAATTTTTAGAAAGGAAATCAAGTAACAATTTCATGAAACTACCAAAAATTTAAACTTTTAAACCAGAAACTTTAAAATACTTTAATATTTTCTATACACCATATAGAAAATAAAATCTTTATTGAAATTTCCATCAACTAAACATTATTTTAAAATATTGAGCGCCTGTCTTATTTCTAACATGATGGAAAATAAAGTGTTGATTTCTCATCACTTAAACCCACTATGTCAAATATGATGACTGGCCGCCTGTCTCTGACTAAACCCTGTAATATTATTTTATTTTTGTTATATGCCATCTAAGCACACTTTAAATAGTTTAATATTAAAAGATGCCAGTATTCAGCCAGCTTTCAAAACTCTGTTTTGCTGTTCATGGTCAATTGCAATATTTAGACATAATTCTGTACTTCAAATAAGAGAAAAGTAATTCATTCCTACTAATCATGCTGTGATTCTTACCTCCTCTGCATCAGTACTGTTTCGTTCTTCTGCTTTAACTTTATTATAAGTATCCAGTATATCAGTACAGCTCTGATCCCTAAGAACCAAGATAAGCCATTTCAATAACTTCAGCAATTTTTACAATTAATTTTTTTTAAATAATTTTTTAAAAACCTAAATTTAGATTCTCTGGAAGCTTAAACTGCTTCTTACCCAATAAATCGTAGTAAGACATCAGTTACAATTTTAGCTGCTTTAACTATAGGACTGTCTGGCTCATTGAAAGTCCTGGCATTATGCTCAATGTAGCGTACCTCCCACATTAATGCTGATATTCTCCTGTGAAAGAAAAAAATACTCTGTTAGCCTTAGCTGATATATTTAAAGTATATTTTAGGAATATACAATATAGAACAAATATGTACTTAATCAGAGTGTGTCCAAAGTGTTCCAATATGTACATAACTCAATATATTTGACTGGTGAGCACTAAAAAGACATGATATAGTATTTAAAGCACAAGCAGGGATTTTGAACCACTGGAATGTATATACAAAACTTCAAATAGAACTAACCTAGGACATTATGGGTAAAGAGTCATTTGACAAGGTCAAAATAATGTTTAGTTTTCAGGGGAAGAGCCAAGAAGAGCAAGAAAAAAAAAAACAGATTCTAAAAACTGAAAGATTTTTATCTAATTACTTTTATAATATATAGTATCAAATCAAAATAATATATATTATAAAAATACAACCAGTTCTAAATTGCAAAGGCAGATTAACCAGTCATGGAATATTGTGGTCAGGAGACTTGGATGAAAGAGGGACCAAGAGGTGCCCTCTACAGCCTTCCCATAATCATCTCCCATCCCAACCAAAACAAAGGGGAAAAATTACTTGGCTCCTTTCCTGTATATATTTCAGGACTGGTAACTAAATTTAATTAACTGCAACCAAATTCTCCAACAGAGGATTTAGACATGCTCCAAATCTGTAGCACGTTAATCATGATGAATCCACAAACCACTTAAATTGCCTTTAATAAACTGAAGTTAAATATAGATTTGTTTTGCACACCATTTGTGCTACCTATATTTTCCTCTCAGCCTTTCTTCTTTATCCCCTTTCTACTCTGCAAGAGTGAGAATCTACTAAATAAAGGGAATATGCGTTCTAAAATTTTAAAGGAAATGTTGGTGTGGGTCTTTTGCAGGATCATATGAAAATGCAGATCTCAAAAAGGAAAGCAAAAGCCAAGTGATAAAAACAAACAGACCTGTAAAAGCGATTTTCAAGTCTCCGCCTGATGGTATTGAGGTCAGTTGGATAAGCAACTACAGTACAATACAAGGGGTAGGCACTGAGATCCACTGGAACAGCAAAAGGGCTGGCAAAATCTACAAAATTATCAAAATCAAAAACGGTGGCTATAAAGGACATTAACATCTGATGGTAACGAACACTTATTCATATATAAACAAGAAGGGAGGGTGACATACTACATTTCTAAAACCATGAGGATTCCATTACACAAACAGAATGTTATTCTTTATATTTGGACATCATATCTATGAATCATGCATGATACACTGGTTCAAATCAGGTAAAACAAAATTAGAGGAGCACTGGGTTTGACTTCAGATTTCTGTCTTTCCTAGATAAATGCCAAACTTCTTAAGTGACATATTTTAGAAAATTTAACTATTCATGCTGGTAAAATACATTATTTATCCACTGTCCTTACCAAGAAACCCATCCAAAGTAAGCCTCAGGAAATAGCTAGAGAATTAAAGTGATTCAAAAAGGAAAAAGACACTTACATGACTACCTTCACTCTTATCCTTTGCTGAAAAAATTATCAGTTATTACTTTGGCCAAGTATATAAAACTGTTAATATTAAAACTAAAATCACTGTGCTTCTTGAGTTAAAAGTGAAGTGTACATGAGAAACTGCATATCCTTTTGTAGAACTTAAAAATTCTGCTGATTTTCCTAGCTCCCTTGCATGCTCCTAAAATGTTTTGACATTCATCATACCCAGGGAAAGAAGGTGGTTGATGCCCTGAATAACCCGTTCACATTCTTCATCTCTGGAATGAGCGCCCCACTCTCCTTCCTGGGGTTTGTATAGCAAAGCAGTCAATTCTTCCTGGGAGACAGGAACGCCAGCACCAACTTCATCTGGAAAGGCAGCTAGATATAGTATTTTAAGAAAATCAGAAAAAATTAGTTTCCAATATCATGTGATTGCCATTTTACTTTAAAAGAATTATAATTCATTTTTAAAAGGGTACTTACTTCCCTCTGGAATTGGCTCCATATCCCAGGGGCTCATCTTTTCTCTCTCATTATTGTCCCAGCTATTAAAAAATAACAAGATGCAAATCAAATTAACCATATAGCACTTCCTTTCATATACTACCATAATTTTACATGAATTCCTGGAGGTGAAATCTGAAAAAGGGCAATACAGTTGTCTTGAAAGTACAACTCTGGTTACATAAAGATAATAATAAACCTCTAATAGAGAAAACATGGTCTATCACTATTAAACACAGAGAGTAGAAAGCCTACTCTTAGTCAATATGGAGACTTAAAGGTCAATCCTCATAGAAGAAACATTTCTTCTATCACTCTTGAGAGGATTCATTCATTAGCAATCTTACAACTCTGGAATTTCAAGAAGTAAATATTGCAAACAAATAGTACTTCCAAACATGATGCAACCACTTCTGCCTAGAATTCATACGAGTAAACAAAAGACTAAGTACTAATATTCATTGCTATACTCCAGCAATAACAATTACTTTAGTTAGTAAATTAATTTTCATATTTTCCATTAAAAAATAGTTGCAATTCTTGTCCAAAGTAGAAATAGTTAATAGAAAACACAGACACCAAAAGAGGTAGAAATAAAGTGCTCAGTTCTTCCTTTGTTTTAGTCAAAGAAAACAAAGAACTTTGCTTTGACTAAAACAAAGGAAGAACTGAGCACTTTATCATAAAATTTCCTCTTTGCAAGTATAGGTATTGTGAGGCTAGATAAGTCAGATAAAAGGTATTACTCCTAGTGGAGGTTATTAAAATGCCACATACTATTACAGCATTATGTTAGGCACAAAAGATCATAAACATACTTACTGAACACTGTAACACTGGAAAGAACTATCAGGATACTCTGGTTGAAAAGGCTGCTGACTTTCCACAGTCCCAAACCACCAGGCGTCATCTATTATACTGCGGAATCTATCACCTATAATGTTTTAAAATTCTTAAAAAGATGCTCTTGAGAATATTAGCTCTGTTACCACTCTAAATTACTACTCTTTCTTGACTACAGAAGTAGCATTATATCTAGCATTATCAGAAGTTTCCATCTAGGTTTCTGAGATAAATGATTATTTTACATTTCAACTTCATGTATTTTGATTTCCAAGTGGTAGAAATCTTTCTGAAATAAATTACATATGACAACATCTTCTTAAATAAATGCTACCAAGCATAATTTAACTTTTTTCAATTACTTAGCATCATCATTAAGCATATTCCTTATTGTATTATATATGTACATAAATGCAGTTGATTCTTCTGTCTTGCTTTTAGCTTTCTTTAAAAATCTCTTCATACTAGTTTTTATACTACAGATCTTCCTCTAAACCAAGGAAGATGTAGAAAAGTTTGGAACTTCTTAGAGATTTGTTGAATGGTTTTGACCAAAATGCTAATAGTCATACGGACAATGAAGTCCAGGCTGAGGCGGTCTCAGATGGAGATCAGGAACTTATAAGCAGCAAAGCACTCAAGGACTGACTTGGCTGCTGTAAAAAGTATTCAGTTTTATGTATTCACAAAGATATGATTTTGAATTAGAACTTATCTTTAAAAGGGAAGCAGAGCATTAAAATTCAGAAAATTTGCAGCTTGATGATGGACACGACAGAAAAGAAAAACCCATTTTCTGAGAAGAAATTCAAGTCAGCTGCAGAAATTTGCATAACTAGGAGCCAAATGTTAACTGCTGAGAAAATGGAGAAAATGTATCCAGGGCATGTCAGAGATCTTCGAGGCAGCCCCTCCCATCACAAGCCCCGGGGTCTAGAAGGAAAAAAATGGTTTCTTGGGGTTGCCTGGCTACTCTGTGCACACTTGGAACTTGGTGCACTGTTTGCCAGCTGCTCCAGCCCCAGTCATGACTAAAAGGGGCCAAGGTACAACTCAGGCCACTGTTTCAAAGGGAGCAAGCACCCAACTTTGGTGGCTTACCCATGATGTTGGAACTGCAGGTCCACAGAAGTCAAGAATTGAGGTTTGGGAACCTCCATCTAGATTTTGGAGGATATATGGAAATGCCTGGATATCTAAGTAAGAAGTCTGCTGCTGGGGTAGTGCCCTTATGGAGAATCTCTGCTAGGGCAGTGGGGAAGGGAAATGTTGGGCTGGAGCCCCCATACAGAGTCAGAGTTCCCACTGGGGCACTGCCTAGTAGAACTGTGAGAAGAGGGTAACCATCCTCCACACCCCAGAATGGCAGATCCAAAGACAGCATACATTGTGAGCCTGGAAAAGCTGCAGACACTCAACGCCAGCCTGTGAAAGGGGATATAACCTGCAAAGTTACAGGGGTGGAGCTGCCCAAGACCATGGGAGCCAACCTCTTGCATCAGTGTGACCTGGACGTGAGACATGGAGTCAAAGGAGATCATTTGGGAGCTTTAAAATTTGACTGTCCTGCTGGATTTCGGACTTGCATGGAGCCTTCAATCCCTTAGTTTTGGACAATTTCTCCCATTTGGAATGGATGTATTCATCCAATACCTGTACCCCTCATTGTATCTAGCAAGTGACAAACTTTGGCTTTTACAGACTCATAAGCAGAAGCGATTTGTCTTGTCTCAGATGATACTTTGGACACGAACTTTTGAGTTAATGCTGGAATGAGTTAAGACGTTGGAGATCTGTTGGGAAGGCATGATTGGTTTTGAAATGTGAGGACATGAGATTGGGGAGGCGCCAGGGGCAGAACGAAATGGCTAGGCTCTATGTCCCCACCAAAACCTCATCTCAAATTCTAATCCCCTCACACTGAGGGAGGGACCTGGTGGGAGTGGATTGGATTATGGGGGCAGTTTCCCTCATGCTGTTCTTGCGACAGTGAGTTTTCACAAGATCTGATGGTTTAAAAGTGTGGCACTTCGCCTTCTAACTCTCTATCTCCTACAGCCATATGAAGAAGATCCTTGCTTCCCCTTTGCCGTCTGCCATGATTGTACGTTTCCTAAGGTATCCCGAGCCATGTGGAACTGTGAAATCAACTAAATGGTTTTTTCTTTACAAATTACCCAGTCTGAGGTAGTATCTTTATAGAAGTGTGAAAATGGACTAATATACATGACTACAAGTAGATTTTTGAAATTCAGGCACAAGTAATTAAGTGTGCAAAAAAGTCAACAGTTTAAAAATCCTTATGTTCTGTATTGCATTGTTATAAAATAGAGCTATAAGCAAATTTCTTTAACTCTTAAACTTTTTTCCTTTATATTATTGTTATACTGCTTTTTATAATCAAAAATGAAAGAAGGGTAAAAGAACAAAAGAGGGTGGGAGGGTGACAGGGAGGGAAACAAGGACGGAGTAAGAAAAAAAGGAAACAAATCACAATCAGTAATGATCTGTTTTAGAAGCCAAGTGTAAAGTGCTCTATTTTAGGGCAAGTGATGAGAATTTTGTTTATATTCCTTTTTGTATATTAATAGAGTAGGTATTTACAGAAGGTTTAGAGACTATGTGCCACACACAATGTGCATAAAAAATAAAAGAAAATTTTAACTTAATTTTTCTAGTTTCTCTCATAGCTTTTTTCAGCTAAATGTAAGCTAGTTTTTTTCTGTTAAATCACAGTTAAAAAGTTACTTACTGTACGTAAGCTTAATAGTTAATAAAACAACAATTCTATACTTACCAATCTGCCAGTTCCTTTCTTTGGCTTCATTATAAAACTGATGTAGCACAAGAAAGTCAATGACATCTGGCATGTCATGATACCTATACAGAAAATAAAGCACATATGAATCAATATAGAGATATAACAATATATGTTACTAAATGCCCAAGAATATATGTTTAATGTAGACCCATTAAGAAAATTTTGCAAACCTCACAGTCCCTAGAAATGCCTTTACTTAAACACCATCTTCTCTGATCTGTTTGGGAGTGCCCTGCCTACTGTCATATTACTTTAAAAATAAAAAGATGCCAATACAGGTTAATAAAGCTTAATATGAGGTATTTTATATTAAGAAGTATGAATGTTCCTTAGTCTCCTTACATTTAAAACTCAACTGCATGTAAAGAGCCATTGACTTATTATTCTTATTAACAGAAATAAAAGCAACTGCCATGTTTCAAACATTCTATTAGGGAATTATAAAAGTTTGTCTTTGATTCCTCCCAACAATCTTTAGGAAGAGATTAGCATTTCAATTTTACAAATGAAGAAATAAATTCAGGGAGGTTAAGTAACTTGCTTATGAATCTGTCTAACTATCTATAACATAAATACATACATACACACACATGCACATGGACACACACATACAAATAAAATGGACAAACTAAGAATTAAACTCTGGTCTTTATAATTCTAAACTCTGTAGTAAAGAATGCTAGCGTGTTTTCTCTACCATTGAGCCCTGTACTCTGTAGAATATACAATAGGTATTAAAATATACACACTCAAACACATAAACCCAGAGATAGAACTACTCACTTAATGGAAAAAGATTCTCCAGTCATTTTGCCTGAAATTGGGTCCAGAAATGCAAGCTTCAAGCAGCATAGTGTGGGTGGGCCAACTTCATATTTGATTCCTACAATCTTAACAAACTCTTGCTCCTATTCATGAGAATACCAATAAATTATTACTTTCAATATAAATAATCACTTAACATTTGCATAATATTTCATTATTACTTGAACAATTCAATAATATCTGAATGCTCTCTAAATGCCAGGCACTATACTAAATGTTAAAGGTAATAAGACATGGGTCTTAATTCTTAAGAGCAGGTTGTAGTTTAGTACAAGGCTCTAAACCAAGGATGAGCAGGAACATCACCTGGGGAAATGTTTCAAATTTAATGTTCTGAAATCCTATACAGAATCCAGTTCTATGTTTGGGGTATAGCTCAATAATGTATCTGTTTTGGAAAAAACTCCCTAGTGCATATGATGCTCTGTCTGGTTAAAAATCACTCCCCTAGCAAAAATACAGTATGTAGGCATGCAGGAGTATATGTACAAGTACATGTTTGGGGCAAACACTTACGTTTTCGAATGTCTACAACATTATATTTTTAGTTATTTTTGTTTTACTTTAGATTCATGGGGTACATGGGCAGGTTTGTTACATGGATATATTGCATAATGGTGGGGGTTTGAGCTTCTAGTGTACCCATCCTCCAAATAGTAACCATTGTAGCAAATAGGTAATTTTTAAACCCCTATCCCCCTCTTAACCTCCCTTCCTTTGGAGTCCCCGTGTCTATCATTTCCATCTTAATGTCCATTCATACCAACTGTTTAGCATCCATTTGTAAGAGAGAGCATGTGGTATTTGATTTTCTGTTTTTGTGTCATTTTACTTACGATCATGGCCTCCAGCTCCATCTATGTTGCTGCAAAGGCCATTACCTCATTTTTTATGCCTATGTAGTATTTCATGATATATATGTACATTTTCTTTATCCAGTCCACTACTGACAGGCATCTAGGTTGATTCCATGTCTTTTCTATTGTGAATAGTGCTGTAATGAACATACGTGTGCATATGTCTTCATGGTAGAACAATTTATATTCCTTTGGGTAAATAACCAGTAATGGAATTTGGGTAGTTAAAAGTTTCTAAGAAATTTCCAGACTGCTTTCCACAGTGGCTGAACTAATTCACATTCCCATCAGTAGCATATAAGCATTCTCCTTTCTCCACAACCTCACAAGCATCTGTTTGTTTTGACTTTTTAATAATGGCCATTATTACTGGTGTGATATGGTATCTCGTCATGGTTTTGATTTGCATTTCCCTAACGATTAGTGATGTTTTAGCATTTTTTCACGTTTGTTGGCCGCTTATGTGTTTTCTTTCAAGAAGTGTCTGTTCATGTCCTTTACCCATTTTTTAATGGGGTTATTTGTATTTTGCTTAAGTTCCTTGTAGATTCTGGATATGATCTTACAACAATCGTACACATTTACTGATTGTTAGTCACATTTAACAGATGGCAAAACTGATCTTCATGGGTATAGGGTCCTGCTTAAAGTTATATACTAGGATACAGCAGAGCTGGAATTGAAACCCAGGTCTTATTTCAAAGCCCAAGCTTTTAGACTACATATAAGCTATTCCTACAATTTCCTGGAACCACAAGGTTAGGATAAAACGTGAAAACTCGGCCAGGCACATTGGCTCACACCTGTAATCCCAGCACTTTGGGAGGCTGATGTGGGCAGATCACCTGAGGTCAGGAGTTCAAGACCAGCCTGGCCAACATGGTGAAACCTCGTCTCTACTAAAAATATAACAATTAGCCAGGTGTGGTCGTGGGCACCTGTAATGCCAGCTACTCAGGAGGCTGAGGCAGGAGAATGTCTTGAACCTGAGAGGTGAAGGTTGCAGTGAGCCAAGATCCCACCACCACACTCCAGCCTGGGCAACAGAGTGAGACTCTGTCTCAAAAAAAAAAAAAAAAAAAAAAGAAAGAAATCATGTGTTTTATTCAATCCTCTGATTTTAAAAAAAGAACTCAACTTTCACCTGATACAGAATAGATGGTAGCTGTCCCTTCCAGGAGATGATTAATAAACATTTTTACAAACATCTAAACCAAATCTTTATTTTAATAAATATACATATTATCAGCAGGGCGTGGTGGCTCACACCTGTTATCCCAGCACTTTGGGAGACCGAGTCTGGTGGATTACTCTGAGGTCAGGAGTTCGAGACTAGCCTGGCCAACATGGCAAATCCCCATCTCTAATAAAAATACAAAAACTAGCCGGGCGTGGTGGTGTACACCTTTAATCCCAGCTATTTGGGAGGCTGAAGCAGGGAAATCACTTGAACCCAGGAGGTGGAGGTTGCAGTGAGCTGAGATTGGTCTACTGCACTCCAGCCTGGGCAATAGAGCAAGACTCAGTCTCAGGAAAAAAAAAAAAAAAATCATCACAGAACCTTTCACTTACCTGGAAAACCATTGTAAAATGGCCCTTTACTCTTTTTCAGAAAAATAAAATAAAATATGCATAAACCTAGGTAGAAATGATGGTATATATATACCTATTTGACTGTCTGTATATGTGCGTGTGTGCATATATATGTAGAAATGAATGAAATGATATATTTATTGACAGAAACTCATTCTCCATAAAAAACGGAGCCACACGGATATTATATATGTAGCTACATGGGTATTATATTGAAACAGCTATTTTACAAAACACAAGTTTCCGGGCTTCTTGTGATTTATCCTATTTAATATATACCAAAGCCATAAGAACCTTGAGAGTGTTTACAGTCTACACACTCAATTTATAGAGCCACCAGAATGTACAAAATTGCTGATTAGAGAAAATATCCACACAGGGGAACTCCTGCTTTGCTCTAATTATGGACTTGTATAGACTAGACAATAGAAAATAGCATACAAATTTTGAGAAACATATAAAATGTGATCCATAATATTCAGTTTTACAAGAGTATAGTACATCATTTTATCTTAGATACACAATCAACAGTGAAATATGCATGAAACTGAGGAAAAAAAATCATGGGTAAGCAAGGTAATTCCAAAGCTACTTCAGTTGCATAGCTTATGAATTTGGCAAACTTACCCTGAGATCCATTTTGTTCCATGGCTGTTTTTGTAAATTAACACTGTATATTTTTGATTTCCTTACAGCCCGAACATAAGCTTCATGTCCTTGCCTAAAATAGATAAGCTGAAACAGAAAACATAAGGTATTAAACAGCAGCATCTATAACTCTGTATGTCCAATATACATTCCTACAAACATCTCCTTCTGTTTGCAGAAAAAATAATTGTAACATTGAAAGACTTTATACAATAAAGGTTTCAAATGACATTAATTCAGTACTCATGCCTATGTAGCCCTGCGCTCAGTACTACCTCATGTATGCACAGCAAACACAGTCTGTCCCTTCAATCAGTTTTATGAGCGTGCTGGAGAAGCAGATTTATGAAAAATGTACACAAAACTGGTCATGTTTTAAAGTATAAGTGGCCCTCCACATCCACAGGTTCTGCATTAACAAATCTAATCAAATTCAGGTTGAAAATATTTGGAAACATATATATATATATATATATAATGTGATCCATAATATTCAGTTCTGCAAGAGTATAGTACATCATTTTATCTTGGATACATAACCAACTGTGAAATATGCATGAAACTGAGGAAAAAAACCATGGGTAAGCAACATAATTCCAATTTTACTACTTTATATATATATAATTATATTATTTTTACTACTTTACAAAGTAACATAAAAAATTTTATGTTACTTTGTAAAGTAGTAAAAATATATAATTATATATATAAAGCAGTAAAATTGGAATTATTACACATTATATATAATTACATATATATAGATAGATAGATAGACAGATAGATAGATAGATATACAAAGTAGTAAAAATAATACAATTAGACCAGGCATAGTGGCCCATGCCTTTAATCCTAGCACTTTGAGAGGTCGAGGTGGATGGATCACCTGAGGCCAGGGGTTCGAGACTAGTCTGACCAGCATGGCAAAACCCTGTCTCTACTAAAAATAAAAAACTAGCCAGGCATGGTGGCATATGCCTATAATTCCAGCTACTTGGAGGCTGAGGCAGGAGAATAATAACTTGAACCTGGGAGGCGGAGGTTGTAGTGGGCCAAGATTGCACCATTGCACTCCAGCCTGAGCAACAAGAGCAAAATTCCATCTCAAAAAATAAAAAAATTAAATAACAATAATGATATTACAAATAAAAAACCAATATAGTATAACAACAATTAATATAGCATTTATATTGTAATTTGGTATCATAAGTAATCTAAAGATAATTTAAAGTATACAGGATGATGTACATAGGTTATATGCAAATACTATGCCTTTTATATAATGTTCTTGTAGATTGTGTTATTTGCAAGGGTTCCTGGAGCCAACTCTGTGTGGATACTGAAGGACAACTATACCATACTTCAAATTATAACTGGTATTCTAACTATCAACATTTTCATATTCAGCCTACACATTTCATATAAACACTTCAAATCACAGGTTACTAAATGGAGTAATTTCAAGACAAATTAAAAGCTGCCTGTTACAAGAGTTCATGTCATAACTGTCATATTATAGAAGAAAAATGAATTCAATTACTTAATTCTGCAGCTCTTTAAGCCACCATTTATTATCATTTTCTGCATTTATTACAAAAAGTTTCTTTTCCTGAAGTTTAAAAGTAGTGATAGAGGCCAGGCGCAGTGGCTCACACCTGTAATCCCAGCACTTTGATTACAGTGCTGAGGCGGGCAGATAACCTGAGATCAGATTGGCCAACATGGTGAAACCCTGTCTGTACTAAAAATAGAAAAATTAGTCAGGTGTGATGGCACACCCTGTAATCTCAGCTACTAAGGAAGCTGAGGCAGGAGAATCACTTGAACTAAGGAGGCAGAGGCTGTGGTGAGCTGAGATAGTGCCACTGCACTCCAGTCTGGGCAACAGAGTGAGACTACATCAAAAAAAAAAAGTAGTGATAGAGATAAGTAAATAGAAGAAAGCAACAAAAATACCACATTATGAGATTCTAAAATACATTAGCATACTCTACCAATCAATGCTAAGTCAGAATTTCTAACAGCTAAAACTTTGAGCAGAAAATGAAAAAGGTTTAAACTTAGTAAATCAAATAATTGTAAGGGTTAAAAAACAATAATACACATGTCACTAAGATATCCTTTATTATATATTCATTCCTGAACTCAACAAATACTGATCATTGAACATCTATGCATAGGCACTAGATGCTGTGATAAGGCATAAAAATATTTCCCTCTAGGATATGGACACACATGTAGACATGTAACTATAATGCAAGGTAGAATATATTATACATCAGAAGATAAAAGTAATTTAGGTAGAAAAGCTTATGAGGACAGAGGAGCTGGCCAATGAAAAACAAGAATAACATCCTGGAAAAGTTGGTATTTGAATTTGACCTTGAAAATTATAATTTTAAGAAGCAATGATCTGTGGGTAGGGATATCTAAGCAAGGCAATGAAGGTTTAATATTAAGATGAAGTAAAAAATAATGTTGCCATTAAGAAATCAATTATATAAAAAGTATATGTTTGCCTTTATAATTTCTTTAAAAACATTCTCTACATATTCACTGTCTGATTTATATACATCTTCCTCATTACCTGAAGAACTGTCTTCACCTCATACATATTAGTCTTGAAGCATATAAGGATGTAGTAGGTTTAACAACATAGAGGAAAAGGAATTCCACCAAAGAATGGAGGAAAATGTGCCGGGCGCGGTGGCTCACGCCTGTAATCCCAGCACTTTGGGAGGCCGAGGCGAGTGGATCACGAGGTCAACAGATCGAGACCATCCTGGGCAACACGGTGAAACCCCGTCTCTACTAAAACTACAAAAAATGAGCTGGGCA